GGTTCCACGCCCGTGAAGCGCACAATAAGTAGAGATAGCCCATATAAAGTCCAAGTGAGATTCCATCCCAAAACCAATTGGTGATATAGGGAGTAGCCGACTTATAAAATAGACCTTTTTTCCCTATATAAACGATGTGAGACAACTCACAAGTGATATTCTAATATTATGATTCAAGACACAAGAATTTTATAAAACGTGCTAATTACCAGTTATCTATAGTAATTATTTTGACTATTGTTGTATTATACCAAAGTTTAATAGTTGCTACCTCCTTTCATGATCTTTAATCATGTACCACGCAGGAGATTTAAGTTGATTACACTTGCATTTTACAACCCCGATTTTTTTATTATTTTTTTTATTTTTTATTTTTATTTAATTTTTGAATCAAAATTGTAAATTATAATATGAAAATAATAGGCACGCTGAGGAAAAATGGCCCCAAATACACACATTGTATCATTTATTATGTCAATGCTCAATAATAGACTAGTCCATGGTCTACCAAAGACCAAGTCAGATATCACTTCATGCAAACCAAGCAAATTTATGACAAAATGAGTCAAGTAAAGTTTTCACAATTTGTAAAGAATACATATATCCTGATTTTTTATTTTTTTTTCATGAAGACATTTATATCCATAAATAATGAGCAATTGCGAAAATTCCTCATGTTTCGTGGTTTAATTGTAAATGTATTAAGTTTTATTAATTATGAATTATTGATTTGTGGTTTGCCTATAGATGAAATTCTTCATGTTTCGGCCGACTAACAAAAGAAAAAAGAAGAAGAGAAAATTACACAGTTACTCGGCTGTAACAATAAATTTTATGAAAATTTGTAAATTTTGTTTCGATCAAACAATATTGATGGTACAATCTCTATACATCTCATATGGTTCTTCTCTTTTTGAATTTGGATTTGGATCTTTGAATATGGATTTGGACCTGCGTAACGTTGACTCGAGGGCTTGATATTTTTTCAAGGATCAAACAATGTTGCTTGAACTTTTCTATTAGAACCGGAGGAAGAGAGTGCGGTCCAACCAAATGAAGGCGCACCATAAGAGAGTAAGCCTAGATGCACCTTAGTGAAGTTCCATCCCAAAACTAATTGGTGATTGGAGAAATAGCCCACTAGGCTTATATACTAGACTCATTTTCTCTATAAAATCAATGTGGGACAACTCACAAGTGATATTCCAACACGCCGCCCTCACTTGTGAGTCTTCCGTATGCCCAATCCCACATAGCAAGCCAGGTAGAGAGATAAGTCCAAACCCAGAGTGGTCCTAGGACATGCCCACTCTGATACCATATTAAAACAAAGGGAAGAGGGTGGTCCCACCAAATGAAGTGCACCATAAGAGGATGAGCCTAAATGCACCTTAGTGAGGTTCCATCCCAAAACCAATTGGTGATGAGAGGAATAACCCACTAGGCTTATATACTAGATTCATTTTCTCTTTTAAATAAATATGAGACAACTCACGAATGATATTCCAACATCTCAATGAACGGGGGTTGAATGTTTTGATTTGAGAGGAGTGAATGTCGTCTCTATACTTCTTGAAAAAGAGCCGCCACTTATTTTTCTTCTTCTTCTTCTTATTCTTTGTCTTCTTCTTCATTGAATATATTTCGGCGCAATTATTGTGCATGGTTGCGAGTTGAACGCCGATCTTCAACTTGAATGCCCTTATATTTACAAGAGTTTCTCCAAATCTTCAAGAGAGTTCTTGAAAACTATTGACTTGAGACTTTGATTTATTAGGTGTCTTTTTTCTGCTTTTGGAGAGCCCTTATTTATAAGTGTAGGAAAGATGGTCTTAGGAAAGAAGATATCAATTTGATAGGCCATTCATGATTTGATACAATTTCTTTCCTTATCATAAGCTCGGTTACCATCTACCCCACAAAATACTACTAAACAGTCTACATATGATTGGATGCTCAACAAAACTGGAGAATACATGATTTGTTATTAAGGATAAAAATTGATTTGTTGTTAAAAATAAATAACTAAATTTCTCTTGGTATTGTGGAAAATTGCGTTTACAATTTTTTAAAAACTAGAACAATTGAGTTTTTATAAATTAAAGGATTCTAAACTAATCTTTTTAATTAAATAATATTTTTAAGATACATTAAAATACTTTGGCATATGGTTAGTTACCAAATCTATTAATATATAATAAGGATTGACATAATTCATTTTTATAAATAATTTCCCGCCAATTTCATTAATTATTGCCTAAAAATAGTAAATTAACAAAATCTCTATTTATTAACATACTTTTTTTATGTAATTTTTTTTTAGGATTACAATAACAAATATGGAATCAAAATCAAAATAAATCTATTAATATATAATAAGGATTAACATAATTCATTTTTAGAAATAATTTCCCGCCAATTTCATTAATTATTGCCTAAAAATAGTAAATTAACAAAATCTCTATTTATTAACATACCTTTTTTATCCAATTTTTTTTAGGATTACAATAACAAATATGGAATCAAAATCAAAATAAATCAAAGAAATACACTTACCATACTTAATACATTTAATTTAAGAAAAACACTTACCATACGTATTTTTCAAAATTTTTAAAATACAATATAAAACATTTAATTAATAATTTTCAATTAAAGTTTCTTTTTAGAAATTAATCATATTTCTAATAATTGTTAGAAATAATTTATATATATATTAGTATTTACGTGAAAGTAACATATATGTTACTTATATGTTAACATATATGTTAATCCTATATAATAAGAATTAACATAAATCAAATTTAGAAACAATTTCCCGCCACTATCATTAATTATCTCCTAAAAATAGTAAATCAGATTTTTTCCTTTTTTTTTATTAATAACATCAAATACTTTTATATTGGTAAACAATATGGAATCAAAATTCGAATAAATCTTTTATTTTTCTAAATAAATTGGAAATCCAAATGTAAATCCGAATAAATCATGATTTTAGGCATCGTGATTTCCAAGAAAATCCGAATAAAATCTCCAAGGAAAATCATGATTTGTATATATCATAATTTTAGAAATATGTTCAAAATTTTCTTTGCATGAATCTGAATCATAATTCATTCAGCCTATTATTATATTATTAAATTATTTGAAACCGCATGCTAAGATTTGTATATATCAGATTTCTAAAATCATGATTTGTATATATCATCTTTTCACCAATTAGACTTTTTTCTTCATTATCGATATGAAAAGGAAAACAAATTTTATATACCTTAATGGTTTTGATAATACAATGCTATAATCATTATCATTATTTATTTTAAAAGATAGTGTTTGTCATTTATTTGATTTCAAAAGATGGAAAACTTTTTATAGTTTAGGTCTCTTTTTATTTATGCATTTATACAAATTAACTTAAAAACTCTAATAACGATTGACAACAAAATTTGTTATATATTGATTCAAACCAACTAATTAATAAAAGAGTCCATCAATCACGAAAAATTAAAAAAATAGCACATGATCACTACATTTCAAATATTAAGTTATTTAGATAAATATTCATTTATATTGTCATGACACTAAACAAGAGTGAGTGT